ATTTCCAACGTTTCTGGGACGTTTGATGACTGTAGAGCATTTTCTAAGCGAACGATATGAAGATGCTAGAGGACTAGCGCGTGACATAGTAGAAGAGGGTTCCTATCCGTAGAGCACGGTCCAATCCCGCCCCGCGCAACCAAGTCTTCGTGAAAACATTACTGCTCATGATAAACACTCCGCCACTCCCACTCCTTTTACCTAGGTACACACACCGTCAAAGTGAGGTGCGTATTGCATAAAGTCGTTCGTTTGACTCACATTCCATTCTTATCAAAAGCGCATAGCATTCACAACCCATTAATCTGTGACTCTTGACATGCTGTACACCATGCGCCTCGTCCTACGACTAGAGTGTTATAATCAAAAGATGCATACAAGTGATGTAGGTGATGATTTCCAAATTTTTACAAAATGATTTCCATCAACTGAATTACGAGCGAGGACTCGTCGTGAGCCGCGTTCCTTGAGCATATATAACTCTCATTGGCTGGACTACATTTGACTGAACTGAAATCGGCAAAAATGGCCTAAAGTGCAATTTCTCCGAAGAGCAATATATTTCTACTGTGAATTAGACTAAGCCACAGCATCATTAGCCAGCTTTTGATCAATCGACAAGCCTACATATTTACAGCTTTGGCATGGGACCTACGTTACATATATACTCGTCATAGCTTGCAGCGTTTGGAAGAGGCGAAAGATGGCACACCTTTCCAAGACGAATCGGCCGCGGAGGGGATACGGAAAACGCCGGAATTGTAGCGAGCGCGAAAAGACACGTAATGCTGCTTGTTTGTTTCACAGGTATCGCGACAACTGTACGATTTCTATGCTAATCTCATATTCTGAATAAAAAGGGATGGAACACCAAGAAAGGATACCCATAATGAGAAAAATTCATTGATTTGAGACCGGGATCTACGACGATGAAACATAGTTCAATCTCTGGCTTCGTCACTACCTCCGGCTACAAACACAGTGAGAGAAGAACTTTCTCAGTTGACATAGATCGCATATGACAGTACGCGAAAGAGCAGATCTCTAGAGGAAGCAGATTATACACCGCTGGGCACTTGCCGTCGGGATCTGCAAACAAACATGGCACTACCTCCGACAGGCACACTGCATTTGGAAACGACTCGGGATCAAACAGAGATGGACGCGGCTTTGGTTACAGCTGCATCGGCACGTCTGCCTGGGAACGCCTGACGCGTACGCTCTTACGGTAGGGTTGGTGCCATCTTTACCATGTTTACTGTAACTCGATACTTTCTTCAGTGCGCGGAACACGACTGTTTAAGCTTCCGCGTCCACTACTAAACGCTGCGCGTCGTGACTACGAGTACTGGGTTGAACGGAGGACATCCAAAGTCACTGGAAACAGGCGCACACCTAGATACCCAATAGCCAACACTTGGAAAGAAGATGAAAGAATCACCGAAAAAGCAATACTCTTGGTAGTTCCTGACGTACGGCCTTACCAGCGAGAAGTTCCCATAGTGAATCAACTTATTTGTACTCGTCAAAAAGCTTTGCGGGTGAAAATAAGAACAAACCCACAGCACTCTTATTATACGTAATATCAACATAGAATTCTGCAAGCGCTTACTCTTTATTCATATACGCTACAGCAATCATTGGCATGTTTCTTAGTGGTGACTGGCTAAAGATTAGCAAAACAGTACAGCTTCCATTCAAAACTGCTTTCAAATGTGCTTTAACCAAAAGACTTGTGCGGTTAGATTCCATTATATCAATTTTCGCTAAAATGCTTGTGGAGTTTCGATCACGGTGATGTACATGTGGCAACGACAGCAAAAAAACAAAAACAAATGTGAACTTTCTTCAAAATGGAATGGACGTAGCATCAAAATCTACCCTCGATCTTTTTATGATCTGCATATTATGAGACTTGATTTGCTTCCAGAATTTGAATATTTTCGCCTCATTTGAAAAGAGAAGCTCCAACGACTCATAAGTCTCAGATAAAAAAACCAAAATTCACAAGTAAACTGCAAATTTCGTATAGCTCAACGTGAACACAGGCGAAAACTCAGCCGGGAAGTACCAAAAATGACAATTTCTATTCGTAGAGGGCTCTACGCCGTATGCCGTCTACTCACCTTGTCGCACAAGTTTGGGCGAACGAGGCTTTTCGGACGAATCAGTCGTTGAAGGGAGTGGTAGGTTCTCTTGTACTGTTTTCAACGATGAAAGGGATCCTTCCGACATCGTAGGAATGGACGGTTGCCGAATAAGCTGTGGCCGCGTCTACATCAACATTATAACTGCCAAGAGCAATCTTTCTGAGAAAAAGATATACCCACTTCGGGTGGAGGTGGCGGTGGTGGTAGAGGCGGCGGTGGTGGCGGTAACGGAAGTGCTGCTCGAGCAGAGCTTGCAAGAGCAAGCGGCGGTGGTGGAGGAGGGAAGTCGTGTGGGGGAGAGTCGAGCCCACTTGCTCGGGAGCCATTTCTCCTGAATATATCTGAGTTGATTTCATAGTAAATAGATTCACAAGCTGAACACAACAACACTCAAATCAATATAGAATGAGGGGTAAAGAGCACGACATTCAAAATATCGCATAATTTGGGGACAGAAATCATATTCAGTTTGGGAAAACAGTAAACAGTTCGATGTGGTCTCTACGATAAGCAAAGTTCAAAAAGGCCACGCCACTTTGAAGAATGATGATATTATCAGGAAACGAGTGGTCTTATCACTCAGACTGCAGTGTGTTTTGCACCGTTTTTCTTCCACCCCCACTATTATCTAAGGCCCTGGGCATACCTCCGCGATTTCAGTCGCGACAAGATCTGACAATACTCCAGTTATTCATAACTCATCGTAGGGAGTTTAATGTACGGATGATACGGCATTTCATCAACCTACAAAAGTTATGTATGCTGATTTGGGGTCTGTATTGAACTTGAAGACATCTGGCAAAATGCCACGCGCGAGGTATCCCAAGGGCTAAAGCAAATACATAGAACTTGATTTTAGTTGCGGACCTAGGCGGGGGTGACTTGTTTATACTTGTAGACCGAATTAATTTTCCAATCATTCAGAAGTTCTTTTT